TAAGAAAGTTAACCTTTCTAAGCCTAGTTTTTGTCATCTAGAAATGGAAGCAATATATAACCTTTCTCAAACACTCTTGAATGGCTTCCAGATAATATACAGAAAGCATCTGACACACAGTAAACTGTAAGTAATTATTAGCTATTATCACCTGGGAAAGTAATTTTTTTTTTTTAGCCCAGTCTTTGAGGATTAGTTCTAAATGAAAAGTTACACTATTCCTGGGTTGTAAATGCCAAGACAGTAGAACAATACCTGTAAACAGTTATTTAAAGGAAATATCTATGGAAGAATACAAATTAATGTTTGGTGTTTAAACAAATGCTCTTGAATCTGGATGTCTAAATTATACTTTAAAAAATAAGAATAGGGCTCATTTAATGATCAACTTTGTATGGTGAAAATTTCCTAGCAGCTCCCACAGTTTCAGTAACTGGGGTGTTTTCCTCTTTATTTGAGTTTATCAAGGAAGTGTTTCATTAACATTAAATATCTAAATTTTTAACTTCCTAAATAGGATTGATTGCTTATTTACATCCCATTTAAAAATGCCTAATTTCTTTCTAAAACTATCTCTTTCATAATCCATGATTAAAAGCTCTTCTTTACAATAAGTCACTGGGCTGGGACTAAAGATCTATACGTGAGATAATAATAATAACACCAATCTTACAGTGAAGTTTTGAGAACCAGATAACACAGATGAAAGGGCTTTGCAAATGATAAAGCACTGTCTAAATGCCTCCCTTTGGTAGTTGCAGATGCCACAGCTGCTGACCAAAAGGAGTTTATCCTTGGTCACATGGGGTGTCCACCCTCATTAGAAACACAATTGTGATCAAGCACCGTGTGATGAGATACAGAGAGTTCTCCTAGATTGAGAGTTACAGAAGTAATACCGGGAAGGAGGCAGAATAGGGGGAGGGGAGTGGCCTCAAATGGGCAAGAGAGGGATGAGAGGAAGGAGAATGTCACTATGGGAAGGTGGTCCAACAGAGCAGCATGGAGTGTTCACAAATAATATGGAGCCTTTAGATACAGAGTTGGTGCAGGGAAGCAAATTGTGAGGTAAAGCCATAAAGGAAGGTGATTACAGGTGATGAAGAGCGAATGCCTACAACATCCAATATTTTTTCAAGTAGGTCAACTCTACATGTATTCTTACTATCTACTGAGTACTTATATTACTTACTAGAGGCCAGGTGCATGAATTCGTGCATGGGTGGGGTCCCTCAGCCTAATAGGGAGGAACTGCAGAAGGTTGGCTGCCTGGCCTTGCCCCTCATTGAGGTGATGGGAGGGTTGGGGGGAGAGGAGAAGGGCTAGCCAACCAGCTGTGGGAGCGCACTGACCACCTGGGGTCAGTTCCTGCATTGAGTGTCTGCCCCCTGGTGGTCAGTGTGCATCATAGTAGTCAATCCGGTCATTCTGGTTGTTCAGTCATAAAGGTCATTTAGGCTTTTATGTACTACATAGATATTTAAGGTTATCATTTATCAGCCTCCATAACTCATTGTAAAAGTCCCTCAGATGAAGGATATAGCTGAGGGGTCTTGCGCTTCTGCTATTCTTCAGTAGGTCAGAGAGATAAAGGGAAGAGACAGGAAATTGGCTGAAAAGGGAGAGCTGCATATCCTGGCAGCATTCCCAGGATGGAGGCAGCTCCGTGGATGTAAAGAGATAGCAATAAAGCAGCAGTGTAGGCTGCAGGCAGGTTGGAGCAGAAACCAGGGGAAGGAAGGAAGACAAATGACTGTAACTACCAATTTGCAGGGCCATGAAATCTGAACTCTTCTGGATCTGCCTTCCTGTTGAGTCCTCTGGCTCCAAAGCCCTGGAAAGGAAAACTGATACCCATAAAAAAACTGGCTGAGTAACTACAAAGTGTGATAAATGCTTCATCTTGATTAAAGGCAGTGGTTTTTCTGACAAAGAAAAATTGTGGCTGGTTGACTCCGCAGAGAGGTTATAATGCATGGTTACACATGGGAGTTTGAGAAAACTGAATAATGCATGTTGCAAACAGCATTAGGAGCTGGGAGGAGAGAGGCAAGTAAGACAGAGTCCTATCCACAATGAGCAAGGAGGAAATGTCACATCTTACATTCCCTCTAACAGAGGGGAAGTCAGGCTGAACTTGTTTTTCTTTGGGACTGTGATCTCCAATTGTATCAATAGTAGGCTGAATTATCGTAACTCAACCACAGATATCCATTAAATTTCAGTAATGCCATGGTTAATGCTCCTCTAGTTTCCACCTGAACCTTAAGCCCTTTTAACCTACTTTATTCTGTCTTTACATGGACTGTCACTTAACCCCAGTCTTCAGGGATAGACAAGCATAACCAACAAGTTGAGTCAATAAGTGAATTAAGATTTAACTGTCAACAAAACAATCCCTATTACTCACTAAATAAAATTCCAGTGTAGCTGACTTTGTTAAATTGAAGAAATATATTTTAAACACTGGTATACCTTTTAAAATAGAAGTCAAATCTGTATGTGTACTAAAGCTACTCAACCAGGATTAAAGTTGAAATAAATACTATGTTTCCAAATCAAACTCAGCTCCATTCTAACCAAAGCTCCCTTGTTTGAGCTCCTCTCTGGGACTGTGGAGCTTCCTTCTCGTGTATAGGCTGTGCTGTGCCCAGGAGACGATTTCAGGCAGGTTTTATTGTAGTGATACTTATGAGGACACCAATGCCACATTCACTTGCAGTGTCAGTGAGAAGTAGGTGCAGCAAATCCAAGATCCTATCCTTAAGTTTTCCTGAAGGGTTACAGAATGAGATGGTGGCTATACCTCTGAGGGATGTCATGTCTCTGTTCATGCTAAAGGAGGATTTGGATGGAGGATTTGAAAGAGGCAGCAACAAGATAAAGGAGACATGCCTGGCCAGTGTGGTTCACTAGCTGAGACATCAACCTATGATTCAGGAAATCATGGTTCAATTCCCAGTCAGGGCACATGCCTGGGTTTTAGGCTTGATCCCCTCTCTCACCATTGATGTTTCTATCTCTCTGCTCTCCCTTCCTCTCTGAAATCAATAAAAATATATTTAAAAAAATAAAAGAATAAAAAAAAAGAAGAGAGAGGGAGAGAAGGGAGAGGAGGAGACAGATTGAGGATATAAATGAATAAGAGACAGAAAAGTAGATCAAGGCAGATGTTCAGACACGGAGATGTGAGAGGTATGCAGGCTGCAGGCTTGTTGAAACAGAAACCAGGAATGAGGCCAGAGGAAGGAAGAGGAGAGCATGGTGGTGGGAGCAGGAGAGATGCCTAACAGAAATAGGATGGAGAAACAGAGAAAGCAAACAACTTGCCCTGGAAAAAGAGAATAGAAATCAGATCTGTGGATCACCGAAGGCCATAATTTCTAACAACCTCAGAGAAAGGCAAGAAACAGATGATCACTTGAAAATGTGGTTATGACTGTTTCTTAGACAAGACCAGAAATGAGGGTTCTAATTCTGGGCTTTGGATTCCTGAAGGATCCTGAAGATTCAACACCACTCTCTGTGCTCCCATAGCCTGCTTTTGTTCACCAGGGAATGCTCTCTCCATCACTTTATATTCCTATGATGTCTCCAGGCCCATTTATGAAATGCCTCACAGCAGTTACCACTGTCATTACACTGAGACATCTAGATAGTTTATGTAAAGACGTATTTTAAAGCTGAGGTAACACAACTCTCAGTGGAAACAGCAATCAGGCAGCTCCACAATGTGATTAACTATCAGAATTTTGGAGCAAGAATTGAAAAAACTCAGTGAAGTCTCAAAACTTTAGATTATAAATAAGTGCTTTACATAAAAATACTTTAATATATCAAATTAGAAAATGTTGGTAAACCACCAATCTTAACTGAGCTGAAATAAACCTGAGGCTGGAGTGGCAGTCTGTATAAATAATATTATTGATATTTTTTAAAAATGCTTAAAACTCAGTAACTTTTAGACCTTTGTCAGTACTTGAGCCCTCCCTCATTACTAATTTTTTAAAAGTATATTTTTATTGGTTTTAGAGAGGAAGGAAGAGGGACAGATAGAAACATCAATGATAAGAGAGAATCATCAATTGGCAGCCTCCTGCATGCCCCAACTGGGTATCGAGCCCGAAACCCAAGCATGTGCTTTGACAGCAAATCAAACCGTGTCCTCCTGGCTCATAGGTTGACACTCAACCACTGAACCAACCCAGCTGAGCCCTTATCACTAACTTGAAATACTTATTTTTAACATACATTTCATTAGCAGGTTAAACTGGCATTTTCTGATGTCTACTTTATAGCACACATTATGTGAGACACCCACATGATCTCACCTAATCTCACTACCGGTGTTATTATCCCAATTGTACAGAAGAGGAAACTAACTCTGGGGGTGGTTAAGATCACATGACTGGGAACTGGCAGAGCCAGGATACAGACAGAGGGCTCAGAGTCAAAGTCTGGCACATTTTGTAAGATACCAGACTGCCTCCATCATTCATACCTGTGGCCAGAAAGGAGCTGGCTACCATCCAGAAAGTAGGATGCTGGAATGTAAATATTATCTTCTGTTCATCTACAAGCATGTCAAATATTTCACAATAAAAATATATAAGAAGTAATGTAATAGTTCCCCCAAAATCAGTATGTTTCCCTAACCCTTAGGACTTCAGAATGTGACTTTATTTAGAGATAGGGCCTTTAAATAGGTGATTATATATATATAAAAGCCTAAGTGATCCTTGACCATCCAACCATCTGACTGTAGCTATGATGTGCACTGACCACCAGGAGGCAGATGCTCAACACAGGAGCTGTGGTGACTTGGCAGCTGCAGTTCTCAGGTGGCACACCCAGAACCAAAGAGGAGGGAGCCTGATTCCAGGATGCATCAGCTGAGAACCACCCTCTTGCAATCTGGGACTCCTTGGGGGATGTCAGAGAGATGGTTTCAGCCAGATCCCCACAGGTCAGGCCAAGGGATCCCATTGGTGCACAAATCTATGCACCAGGCCTCTCATATACTATAAAATTGGAACCATACAGAGATTAGCATGGCCCTGTGCAAAGGTGACACACAAATTCATGAAGCGTTCCATAGTTTAAAAAAAAAAAAAGTATAAATAAATAAATAAATAAATAAGCAAGCTGGTGTGGCTCAGTTGGTTGAAGCAATCATCCCCATACACCACAAGGTTGTGTCCAATTCCAGGTCAAACAATTGATGTTTCTCTCACACACCGATGTCTCGACCCCCTTCCCCCTCTCTCTCTCCCTCCTTCCCTCCCTTATTCTCTCTCAAAAAATTTTTAATATTTAGAAAATGGACTGACACCTTTCAGAGGAGAGGGGGTTGAGGAGCTGGGTGAAAAAGGCCATCAGGATATTGATCAGAGCAACGGAAAAGTGGGAAAAATTCAGTTAACATTAGATTACCACTAGGCAAATGCCCTCTAGGGGTAATCCAGGCTCTCATGACAGAAACACCTCTCTCAGCCACTAAATATTATTTAAGTAGATGTGAAAAAAGCTATTTCAGACCCCAGTAGAAAGCCACTGACCAGATGTAGTATGTTATCAAGATTTTCCCATGCCTGGACCCTTTCTACAAAAGAGAAAACAGAGATAAGGACTCTAGGAAGTGCCCTGAAATGACCTATGCCACTTAAAGCAATAATTTTCTTTTTCTTTCTTCATTTCCACCACTAACTCAAACTTGTCCCTCTTCCCCTGTCTTCCTTTCTCCTTCTTTCCTGGTTGTAAATGCTTTTCTGAATTCTGATAGTCCAGATTATGAGCAGCTGAATGTGTCCAGTAAGACAGTAATTCCCTAAAACTCCTCTCCAGCTTCAGCATCTCCAGTGAGAACTCTATTAGTACTTCTCCTTTCTGCTCTTCCATGCTCTGTACAGGGGAAATGGGCATCACATTTCTTTCTTGGGACTCTGTCTTCATGCACTGTGATCTGTCACTTTAACAAAAGATGGAAGAATCAGCTGGTCTTTTACCCAGGCCTCAGCACACAGGTCTCAGGTGTGAAGAAGCTACCTGCGTGCCACTGGTGTCAAGAGGAAACATTATATTTCTTCCAATGTAATCCACACTATGTCTTTGGAAAAGGAGCCCCAGACTGGGATTGGCATGACATCATGCATATTACTCACTACTCCTAAGAGCAGAGGGGAAAATCTACAATAGAAACATTCAAACCTGCAGCTTTTTAGTCCGCCATTCTTCTTGGTCAGGCATTAACCTGAAAAGAATTTCTGGTACCCTGGTGATCTGTTTCCCAGGAATACCTTTCATCTCCTCTGCTGATTCCGAGCAGCACAGCTTCTTGAACTCTCCACCACAGTCTCCAGCTCCTCCCAGGTGCTGTCATGCCCAGACTTGCATCTCTTTCACCACACCCTCCAGGTTCCTCCACAATAATCCAACTTGAAGAGGAGCCTGGGGGTCTGTTGGTCTGTGAGCACACACTACCCTCTACTGGACAAACACAAAGAAACATACAGGGCTGGAGGACCACAGAATTCCCCAACAGGAAGAAACATCTAAGTCACTATCCTTACCCTGTATATGAGAAAGCAGAGTCTTACAGAAGTTCCTGGAATCAACAGAATTACAAAGGGAATTGGAGGTTGAGCCCTGCATCTCTCCGCCTCCCATGTCAAGCTCCATCATGTGAAACTATGTCCTTCTAGTCACAAGAAGAGAGCACTGACTGAGTTCATGGGAGTCTCTAGTTCTGAGATGAAAACCTCTCCAAGGCACAGCCATCTATGAAGAAGTAGAGTGTTGGTTAAAAAGCACTGGGTTGGAGTTAGAGGACCTGGTCTCTAGTTCCATGTCTAGTATCTACAACCTCTGTGAAGCTGGACAAGACCATTTAATGTTAGAGAACAGATGATCTCTAAGGGGGCCTCTCAGAATAGGAGCACAATTGTGAATGAGTGGGCAAACAAGTGCAAACAGAATCACAGCACTCAAAGGAAAGTGCATTAACTGGAAACCTTATCCTAATCCTGGCTCTAGAACCAACCAGTTGCTTGACCTTAGGAAAATCTGTTCATCTTCAGAACTCTGTGTTAATACTATGGATCAAGCTAGATGATCTAGGTAGAAAGACTATACCTTCTCAATCCCTAAGTTCCTACAATCATGAGTAATGATAACTCTGAATATGAATGCTTTCTTCAAAGGATCCTAAAGCCACAGGGGCAAGTTAATACATTGACCTTTCTACTTGTTTATAATATAAATATAACTAAGAGTACATAAATTCAAATTATCTACATGAAGTTCAAAATTATCTGCACACTTACTTCAAACCTGTATAATGGATAAGATATTAGTCTAAGATCCTACCATCAAGAGCTTCTGTAAACCACATTACAGAACATCCAGAAGATCACTGTTTTCTATGAAATAGTAAGTATAACTAGTAAATTATCAAATTAGATAATTAATTTCACTAATTTTAAATTAGGCTGTAGGAATTGACATAAAGTTTAAAAAAAGAGAGACAAAGGAAAACAATGGCAAGGTTATTTTCCAATGGCCTAAGGATGACTCTGGAAGCAGAGGGGAAGGGCCACTGAACTATCAGGTCCAGCCCACCTCACTCCAAAGGCTCGATAAACAGAAATCCATATAAAAATAGTGTGCTTGCCATGGAAATGCAGTATCAAAACAGGTTCTGTAGGTGTATCACCATACACCTCCAACCTGGCTGCTACACCCTTGAGTTTGGATTCCTGCAGATAAAAGGGGACACAGTCCCCTGGAAGAACTTCATCACCAAATATAGGACTGGCAGCCACAAGTTCAAGTGGAAGGACAGTGAAAGGTTAAAGAAAACTATGATCCTGGAAGACTTGCTTAACCTCTCTGCCACTCATCTATCTCACCTTTTCTTAAAAAGACAAAATTAAAAATAAAAGCAAATACATCTGAGTCATAATGTTTTGCAGCTAAATTTAAGGCAGCCTATACATTTAAATATTTTCTTTATTGAGTTTCTCCATCCAAATTATTTTCCAATATCCCTACCTCCTTTCTGGCCCCTCAAAAAATTTTTTTGAAAGTGTTAAAATTCAAATGATGTTCTGTTTGACCTGTACCTACCAAGACTAATAAGCACTTTGGATGTTATATACACAACTGTTTGAGGACCTTGTTCCAGAAGTTTCTCTACATATTTTTGTTCCAAAAGGGCAGTGTAAAGTTTTGAGTCTTCAGAATCTCACTCCCTGTCCTAAGTCTACTTTTGTAAAGATGCATTCTGAAAAATAGAGAGAATATTGCTGTCAAATGTTGGTACAAACTGAACAAGGGTAGGAAGATCGCACAGTGAGATAAGCCAGAGCACAGACTAACCCAGTTAGCAAGGAGAATGTTGGCTCTGTCAGCTTGCCATGGAAATGCAGCCTTCACTGCTGCTGCTTCCCACTGGCATCCAGTAGGAAAGATCCCTTTCACACCTGACACAAGAATGCACTGTCCTCTGAAACATGAGCAAAACCATCCCCTGGGGAACAGGAGGCCTCTTGGCAGGAGTGAAGCTAGAGGAACCAAAGCGTAGCTGGCAGGGCCCACGTAAGAAGTGACTCTCCCTGGAATACTGTTGGAATCAGTTAGGTTGTGCAATATTCTTAAAAATATATTATTTAAAACTGGGTAGAATCATCACTATGCATTATGTTCCAATACAAAGCTTCCATAAAGCTATGGAACAGTATCCTGTTTTTTGCCTTGTTTCTCTCCATTACACATATCCCCACCAAACCAGTACAGAAATGACTGATTTTATTTTGGTCCACAATGTGAGCTTCATGAGGACAGGGATTAGCTTATTAACTTGTTTATTTATTTATTTATTTTGGTTTGTTTTGTCCACTACTGTGCCCACTATATCTAGAATAGTGATGCATACATGATAGGTAGTCAATAAATACTATTGAATAAATGAATGATTTTTGAGTGCCTCGCAGAGATATACACACATCACCACAGTGACAGGGCTGTGTTTGCTGTTACAGTTCAGAGAAGATGGCTCCATGGCCACAGGGGACATGGCAATGTGATGAACATCATCTCTCCTCTACTATTTAGCAAGTTACGCTCTCTGAATTTTACTTCCATCCCCATTCAGGTGGAGATGGCATTAGGAATCATCCAGAAAGTACATGGCATTGAAGAGGTTTAAACCTCTTGGGAGATTATGAAAAATAAGCATTTTATGCACATATACTTCATACCCATATAGACAAGGACAGAAGCATAGGCATAAAGAGAGATGGAAGGGTTTGGGAACAATTTCAAATAGGAATAGAAAGTAAGTACCTACTTCTGCCTATGGAATAGCTTTTAAACTGCTGCATTCTAACCTTATATGATAATATTTCTGGATGAAAGTGTCTAAGCAAGTGATTTTATTGATGAATAATGTTATTTTTTTCCCCTGAAAATGGAGCAAGGGTGGTGTTAAGGGTCCCAGAGTGTTTTGGATACAAAATTTAGGAAGGTCAACAGAACCCAACCAAAAGAATGTTTTTTTCTCTATTTCTTAACATTTTTTAAAAAAAAGCATTTTATCTCCTATATTGCATGCAAATTTCTTAAAATCCTTTCAGAAACAAGGTAGGAAATAAATCAATAAATGATTTTTAAAAAGCAGACAGAAATGTACCCACTCATCCAATGGGGGTTTCTGTGTGGATCCGATGATAAGGTATGTGGAAGTTCCAAGTAAGCAACAGTATGTCCCCACAGATGTCACTGCTGTGAGGGGTTCTTACCCACAGCTTTCTTTAGCCAACACAACCCTGTCCCCTGTCCCAGTGAGACCTTCACTACTGTCACCACTCTGCAGGCAGCTGCTCTTCCACATCTGCCTCTTCTGAGAGGTAGGGGCCACAAGGTAGGGGTTTTGAAAGCATTCTGGAATGGTGTCTCCTTTCTCTCTGACTATCTTAAGTGAGAAGGGTAGTTATAGATTCCTGAGAGAGGAAAAAAAAAAAAGAAATCTACCTGATTGTGAACCCTAGTAACCCCTGAAGAGTAAGCATGACACAACTAGTCAATAAAGGCTGTTGATTGATGT